CCACCCAAGCTGGAGTCATCTCAAAAAGTAGTCGCAACTTATTCTTCAATCATTGCGGCCTTTGCTCCTCAAATTTTGCCATTAACCTTCTTTAATGGGAAGGTTGACTCCAATAATTTGCCTAACTATTTTGGATCAGACAGGATTAGAGACGGTTTAAGGACTTATCTAGGTCCGGTACATCATTTTTTTTTTTTTAAGGAAAATGATTTATAGATCGTGTTTTGAGAAAAGATTAGTGTTGACCATAACTTGGACTGATTGGTTACACTAGTTGTGGTCCTTACTAGCTTAGTAGCTTGTTTTTTTTTAAGTCATACAGTTCTTATCTAGCTTTTCGACAGATTGATCTGGCAGCTCCTTTGCCCTTCGTCGATGGGTTCCTCCCCTTTTGTTATTTCGTTTTTATAGAATGAGACAAAGCAAGTGGTTTTACTTGTGGAAGACCGGAATACACATATTGAAATCTTTGTCCGACAGATGGGAAAGCAGATAAAGAGTTCTGGCAAGTTGGACTGTAGGCTTACCCATCCTCTGGTATAGTTAATTAATAGAAAATTAACCCATCGAGCAGAGTGTGCAGAGAGCACCTAAACTGCCACACCGCAAGCTCCAACTCGATCAAGGGTGGCTACTTTTGACAAGGTAGTGGTTCTTAAAACTTAACAATAAAGTATATAATCAATCTGTCTGGACCCATGATTGCAGATAAAAGGTTCAAATAAGGAAGGATATAAATTGATTTTGTCATTTTTTTTATTTAAAACTATGAATTTTTTGAATTTTTAAATTAAATAATAAATTTTTTAATTTAATGATATAAATTTTATTTTTTATTTAAAAATATAAATTTTATCATATTTCAATTAAAATTATCATTTATCACATTATCATCTTCATTCATTAAATTCTTAAATTAAAAGAAAAACAAAATATATATTATTATTTGAAAAATAAAATTTACTACCTAATTTTAAATTTTAAAAAATTTATATCTTTAAATAACAAATAACAAATTTCTTGTCCTTACGACCCTTTTCCACATGGGTGCACGTGCTTGGGAGTTTTAACAAGTGGGTTTTACTTTTACCAGATTATTGACGGGTCGGATTCAATTATTGTCCTAGAAATTAACACGCCCATATACGGCAGCTAGACGTCATTCTCTTTATATATATTAAAAATATTTTCAAATAAATTTATGGGATTACCAACCAACTTCATTCTTTTGTGTCGTTTAGGTACGGGCAGTGATCAAAGAAATCGAATTTTTTTATTAAAAATTTTAAATTTAAATTTTGAAATGATAAATAAAGATTTAGGATGGAAATAATTATTTTTTATTATATAGTTAATTATTTGAGACAAGAAAATAATAATTATTCCTTTGATGTTTAATTTTTCAATTATCTTTAGTCTACATCAAATTAACTTTTATTGAGACTTTATTTCCCAACTTTTCTTTATATTTTGGTCTGCTTGATAAAGCAATTTAAGGGTAATAGGTAGTAATTTTATCTAAATTATTACAGGTAAATGTTCGACAAAATTTATTTATTTTAAAATTGTTGGTAAAAATTTTGAATTAATGGTTTGAAAGTAGTGAATTGCAATTAGGATTTAAAATGCTAGTAAATTTAAGATAACTTATTATATCAAACTATTAGTGGATTAAAAATTTTTAATTTTTCTAATAAATATATCTTTTTAATTTTTTACTATAATTTTTAATTA